CCTCCTGAATTATCAGTCCCAGCTGCAAACAACTACTATCATCTTGTTTTGTAGTCACCAGCCCTGGGAATCATTCCTTCCTACCCTAGTCCCACAGAACTACCAAATCAAATAGGTCTACCCTCCCCCAAAATATCACTCAGATCAGCCCGTCTACTTCATTTCTATCACCTTACTTAAGGCTCTAATCATCTCTTTCTTGGGTTCCCACGTAACTCCTCCCAACTTGATTTCCTTGTTCCACCATCGCTCTTTTCAAAGTTACCCTCCACACAGCTGCCCGTGTGGTGTATATTCATGTCAATATCACAGCCTCACTCCTGGCTCACACCCTTGAGTGGCTCCCTAGACTAGGCATGGAGGCAGCAACTCCGCAGTGGGTGCCACACCCTTCCCGACCTGCCCTTGCTGACCTGGCCAGCCTCATCTCCTCTCATTCTTTGCCTTCTTAAGAAAGTTAATACAACTGCAGTTTCCCTCAAATAAACTCTGCCATTCCTCACTCTGACACCTTTGTTTATATTCCATAGGAATGCCCATTCTAACCTCTTCAGATTCCCTTCATTTTGGCTATTTTTTCACCATCATTGGAGACTTACACAAAGACCTAATGAAAGAACATTGAATAAAGAGATCCCGTAGCTATGAAGATTGATAACTACTAGACTAGGTCCAAAGTTATCAGGTCAATTACAAAGTAAAGCAACAGGATCATGATTTCCAGCTACTTTAATTCAGTGGTATCAGTAACTGATCTAGAACTTCTTTGACTGTAACAATAATAATATTGCACAATCACTGGAGGAATTTAAAGGAACAAGAGAAAACTCAAATTTTGGCTTCATAAGGTCTTACTGCCCAGCAAGACACATGAAAGGTCCTGAGTAGGTATTAAGAATCTACAGAGTTCCCTCCTGTTATATAACATCTACTAACAACTTTAACTTTAGACTTATTTAGCTGCCTTTTCAACTTGAGAACAATCTAATCAATTTGCTATGCAGGTAGTAGAATGACAGTGAGTCTTTGTCTCTCAGAAAGGCTACCTTTTCATTGCTAGGATCATACCTTGAATTTCAGAGCAAGTCTTGGTTTATTTAGACAGTGCAGAGAAAAATACATCTCTGTATTTGAACACTACAGACTTAAGTCAGGAGACTCAAGGCTTTAATCAATGCAAGACAAAAAAGTAAACCTTGAGTTTGCAATGCTAAGGACACACAATGGGGCAAAAACCCAACATTCTAATGGTTCTTTATGAAATAAAAATGAATCTGAATTATATGTGGTAATGAAGGAGAAATATGATGCAGAAGTGAAATATTATACACTGGATATCTCACTAACGCCATTAGTCATCCAAACTTATGGGAGGCACTATGGGAAGAACTCAGTCGGATTTAGCTTTTACTCAGAGCTTTAGCCTTATCTTTGTGGCATAAACCAAGAATCAGAGAACACCAATGTGGGATACATATAGTGCCTGGGATTTGGAAAATGGGTTCTTAACATTCTAAATTTATGACAAAGCCATGCCTGGTGCTAATCAAGGCAGTTTGAAAAAGGGGAGTATTTTGAAAAGCAAGCAGGAAAAAAAGCTTTTGAAAGGCTTTTCTCTACGAGATTAGGTTTGTAAAAGAATTTTAGTCAAAAGTGCATGCATGTATGCTACAATTAAAATAAATTCAGCTTCATTTCAATTCATGTATTCATTAATGCATTCAACAAATATTTATTGAATACTATGTGCAACAACCAGGAGAAATGGAATTCTAAAGACAGAGATAAGATACCTCTGAGACACTTCTCAAACAGCCATCCTTCGTTTTTCTAGGGGGTTGCAGGGAGGTGTCATGAATAAGAACAATTAATGGAATTAAATAAATAGTCAGGAATGGTGCTCTCCAGGCCTCTCTCTTTTGTTAACTGTTATTTGGAGATAAATCACAGCTAAAGGAACACAAAATATATATATTAACAGATCAATAAGTATGCATCCAAAGGACTTGGGACAATCTCAATTTTAAATATCCTTTCTTATTTTCTCTACAAGTATGCTCGTATTTGTCAGATTGCATAGCCCAATGCTGACCTGGGACACAGCCAGCTAGCTGTGCACAGAGAGGGCATCTAAAGACTTCCTGGGTTTTCTCAGGAAGAATAGGAAATGGCAAATTAAAGGCTCCTTAAGCAACATTGAATTCAAGGGTAGCGAGGGCAAATCTAGGGCTTTGAAGCTCCTTGCGCAGAACTGCAAGAAGACAGGACTGGGCAAAGCAAAGAAAACCGCACGGGCTGTTTTCAGGAAGGGAACTCTGTGGAGACATTTCTTTAGAATTTGGTAGGAGGTCAAATAGGACAAAATGAAGGGAAAATGAAGGAAGTTCATCCTGATCATTTTGTGAAGGTCAAGGTAACTTACAGAAAGATTTGCGTCAACCCCAGAGTCCTCATTTTGGAGCTCTAAGTAGCCCTGGTGTTATGTTTTTTTGTTCTTTTAGAGAACAAACCGTCCCATTCTTGGAGAATGGTCTTGGATATCTTCCAAGGTAAAGTGGTTATCACTGCCCTACAAGTAGATGAACAGGTTTATTCAGGGACACTTAGTCCTCACAGATAGTCCCTTAAGTTAAGGAACATTCTGGGGAATATGCCTCAATTCTATGTAAATGACATTCACAGAGACTTAACTCTTCTTTATTATCTGGTTGAAGGTAGAGTTGCCTATTTAGAGTCAGAAAAGTCTGGATTTCAATTTAGTTCTACCACTGGCTGACTGGGAAATCTGGGACAGGCTGTGTGAACCTCTCTGAACTTGTGTCTCATTCACCGAAAGGTGACAGTCTCTTCTCTATAGAGTTTGTAAGAAGATTAAATGACCTAAAATACGTAAAAGTGTGCTCAAAATAAAATGATATATAAATGATAGTTATCAGTACTCTTTACCAACATTCTTTGACCCAAGTGCAATGGTATGGAGAGAGACTATGCTAACCACAAACAAGGCAGGGCTCTTGACCAGTGAGCTCAAAAGATATATTACACAATCATATACTTCAAAAACATATTTACTCCTTGGTAACATCAAATTCTGTTTACAGTGTCAGTTCCAACTTTTTATTCCAATTTGACTTTGACCCCTACAATAATTACAGATTTAACATAAATGGATATTACTGATTATTCTCAATAAAGTGGAAAGAAATGTTTTCTCTACCATGGTCTTCATTGACAAATGATCTTAAAAGTAAGGCCAAAAATAAAGCTATCATTAAAACAACAGCAACAAAAAAAGTTCAATATTATCTCCTGGATGGTACTCATGTGATGTTCTTGCAGTATTTTCAGGTTTTTACCAAACATTTCCTGAGTATCCATTAAGTATTTAAACCATGCTAAGTACTATGGAGGATATGAGGATGATTAAGATACGGTCCATGCCCCAAAGACACACACTAGCTCATTAAAGAGAGGCACTGGTAATAACTGATAAAAAGGCAAACTGTCAAGGAATTTTCTGAGAAAGGTCCAAAGTGTTCTGGGAATAGAGGCAAAAGACAGATTTCTTCCAACTGCAGGGATCTAGCAGGGCTCCATGGGGAAAGTTATTTTGAGCAATGTGACAGAGGATAGGTGGGATTCCTTTGTCAGATATGGCAGTGGTGGGTTAGAGGTTAGCAGTTAGGCTGAGACTCAAGCTTGAGCTTGACCCCAAAAGTAGATGAGAGCAGGATGTATTCAGAAATACTAGCTACAATAGCATGACCAGAATACAGGGAGAACAAAAGAAGATGGCATCAAAAAAGCAGGTCAAGAGAATATTGTGGAAGGGTTTGAATGCCCCGCTAAAAAGCTTGATTTTTTTCTACATGCAGAAATCCAGTGAAAGGGGGAATGCCATGATGGGTCTTGGTTCTGGCAAGATGTACAAGTAGAGTCAGTATGGAGGATTTATTGGAAGGGTGGGGAAGAGACTAAAGGGAAGCCAACCAGATAAGGAGCTATGGCCATAGGTCAGAGGTGTTAAGAGCTAGAAGGCGGGCAGTGGCAGCAGGAAGCAATGGATGAATGGCTGTTTGCTTTTTCATCCTGAAGTGGCATACTCCCGAGGGCACTGACCTCAGACACACTGTGTTGCCTATGTTAAGAGCTCTTGGTGCCTTGGGCTCAACCAAAGAGATGAAAGTACTTAAGACCCACAAATCTGAGCAACAACTACTTTAAATCCTTGCTTGGTGGCACTTGTCTGAAGAAGGCACATTGTGAGTTAGAAGTGATCATGTGAGAAGACTTTTTAAACCAGGGACCTGTGACATAATAAATGTAATACAAAACTAAAAGTCCAATGATTTGCATTATCCTGACACCATACAATACCCCAGAGTTTTACATCTTTGTCCTCCCTGCAGTCATTGTGAGAGTTCTTTAGCCTTTTTCCTCTTCTACAATTTCTGCTATTTTTCTATGAATGTCTTTTACAGGTGATGGCTGACAATTGGAATTGTCTCACTAATCTGCTATGATGGTGAACATAAATAATAATTTCTGCGTTTGATGATGAAAAATAAGACGAAACAATTGGTTTCCCAATATGACCAAGCCAATAGTCCTACTTTCTTAAATGTTTGAGGTAGAATAATACGGCCAAACACATGTAAAAAATCATATAATCATAAAATTAAATAACCTACTGTTTTCTTAAATTCTATTCTCAAATATAAAATCAAAGCCTCGGAGGCACATGCAGCAAGTCAAATACCACCATCAGCATTAGTTCCTTCACACCTAAAATATGAGTTCTTCATCATACTATTGCATACAACTTGATCTTTCAGATAAAAAAAAAAAAAAAAAAAGAGAATCTGCAAATGGAGCTAAACAGATTATTTTAGAAAACAATTAGACATAAAATGACTCTAAGTGAAGATTCCTGGCACTTTTCTATGTGTGCAAGTGTATGCACTCTGCATACCAATGACAAAGCTAGAAAGAAAACTCACCTGTTTTCTTCCTCAAGATCTGCTAGGATTCTCTCTAGCTCCCCTCTTTCCTCACTCTCTAAGGAAATCAAGATCTGGGCAGGACTACGAGGCTGGCTCAGGGGGGAGTCCTGGTTCAAACTTTGGCAGTAATGCTGGATTAACAAATGTTCATCATCTCTGGAAAATAAAATCAAAGGTTTTGGTTTTTTCCCCCCCTTATTTTGCTTTGGGGGTTAGGGACTCAGGAGTGTATTTGAAAATAGAAACATTTATTTGCTCTTAACAATTAATTAGACCTTTTTTCCTGCTTCTAAAGACCTTTTGATACTGTTGAGGTTGTGATCTACCATTCTATTGGTAACAATTCAAAGTGTTTTCTTGCTCAAATTTTCAAATGAAATTGATTGGCCTATTTACATGGATAAATGAAAGGCAGAATTACAGAAATACTGGGACTCTACATCGATGTTAGTCAATAGCTAAAAAATATTAAAAGACATAACAATCGCTGTATAATGCTTTGGCCACCAAGCCTGTCAAGATAATCTGTTCACTAACCCACGCTATTGTTGTACTGAGTAGGAAAAAATACCTTGCAGCTCTAAAAGTAACAGAGGAAATATTTTCTTAAGTGGAAGGCAATGTAACCAAAAAATATAGCTTCAGTAAGTCAGTTTTAACTTATATGAGTCATTGAGGCAGAATGACAACAACAATTAAACTGGAGATAAATGATTGTTTCATTCAGTTATTGTTTAGACAGATAAACAAAAATTGAGGGGAAAAAAGCCATTAAGGTGACTGATTAAAAGAAGACTGAACATCTCATTCCTCAGGGCAGAGTTTTTTCAAATTTAAGTTTTATTTATTTTAAAATTTATACATAATGGTTTTAAGGACTAACCTTGGGGGAAAAGGGGGCAAAAAGGCTTATATTTGGGGAGGCAGCTGCAATCTCTCCTGGAAACTAGGAGCTCTCTAATACACAGGACAAACTTTTTTCTGAATGCATTGCTCCAAGCCCCTGAAAGGCCTGTTTACCTCCAAGTTATAAGAATTTCATTCTGTCCATAATGACAGGCTAAAGCTCTTTGTTTCTGGTTAGATATCATTAAGATGATACACTAATATTCTCCTCTCCATACCCACTTAATTTTCAGTTGAAAAAAAAATCTGAAATTTAGGAAAAAGTCCTCCTCATTTGAATTATTTTTGTCTATCAAGCCAGTTAACTGGTTTAGATGTGAAAAGCTGACTAAAAATAATTATTGGGTATTAAAAACACATTTAAGTGAGGTCAACCAATCCACCAAACCACTTCCCCAAATGTGTCCCTAAAATGCCATGATTTTTTGCCATCCAACATTGAATCAAAATAGATTTTATGTCCTCAGAATAAGCTAAAGCTTAGTTTAAAATAAAACAAAAGCAGCTTTACCACCTAATTTATCACACTCATTCCAAATTCTGAAGTTTTATTGCTAGAACTTGCCATGTTTAATTATAACCTAGAGTTGTAACTACACTTTTCTTCCTGTTCTCTTAGGCAGTCAATGAATGACAGCCACTGTTACACAGATACAACTTGAATTAATTTGAATGTGCTAGAGCTTCTAATATCAAAATCAGTGAGCCAAAGAAGCACAAGCTATTTACATTTAGTTGATTCTTTGGCCACATATTTTACTGTCGAAGTATCTTATATATTAATACCATTAATACTTTTTCCCATAGCTAAGAAAGATAAGGCATCACAGTTATGGTTGGGGAAAGGCTTGTTTGTTTGTTTGTTTGAAGTAACTAAGTCATATACAAATGACTGAGGGTTGACTTGATTCTTTATTATTAGCTTGATCGTTTATGTACCAGATTAGATTGTTTTTTCTCATGTCTTCAATAACTAGTTACATATATGCCACTTTGATACTATGTCTTTTGGCCTAATCCTTATGAAGGTTCTTTTCTCATCTGAGCATGACTTTGTGCTACCACACCAACTACATATGATAAATTTATCATTCTTCCCTTTGTCTATATTCTCCAAGATGGGTGAGATATCCACACTTTATCAAACTAAAAAGGCATCATAATACTTTGACTAGATTTCTTCTCTTTATGTTATTTATTCAGTTGGCAGATCCTTATTTTTTTCCTTCATATTTGCTTCAATGCCTGCTCTCTGTACCTCAAGCCCTGGTCAGCATTTACTTGGTTCACGGCAATGTTCCCTTATGCCCTGTATTGTGAACACTGCCCTTACTCTACAATGAAGCCTCAGTTTCCCTGCCATAGCTGTGTTCCCTGTTGCTTTTAGCACCACTCTATCTCTGTCCTTAAAGTTTAATAGGGTTGGCTTATCATCCTGCTAACGAACTGTGACCTGAATTTTTACTTCTCCTCTGGAAACCTTTCATAAGATTGCCTCACTCTGTTTATCTTGTGAAGATGCTAAATCACAAAAATCGACTTCTTTGGATTTCTGAAGGAAAACGCCTAACTAACCTACCATATGTGAATAGCTATGCTATACCAAGATCACATTTCCACTCCCCATGAGTGGAGAAAATAGTGCTTAGCCATCACTTTAAAATTAATATCCTATCCCTTTAAATATCTGGCAGGTTTGGTCAAAGATTAAGCATTACTATAGGTACTTGGGACTCTGCAATTTGTAATCATATGGTATGAAATAAGTTTAAATAAGAATAAGGCAAACTATTTTTGCTACTCTGAATGCTAATAATGCCAGAATTTGGATGAGCTCATTCCATGCCAGGGCATTAAGAATTAAAGGAAAAAAGTAAATGAATGGCTCCTTAAAAGATCAAATGAATATGATGCTAATTCCTATATCCTGTGCTATCCTACCTCTAAATCCCTCAAAGCAATTTCATCGTCAGGAACATTTTGTAAAAAGAGATGGGATACTTACATGCTCTCATTAGGAGAGATGCTATCATTTAGATAAGATCCATTGCTGTTTTCCATTTCTGCTAGCCTGATAAAAAACGTAAAAGCTCATTAAAACTTATGTGACTTCTTATAATCTAATCAAGACCTAATCGAACATTCCTGAAAACTAAAGGATAAATCATGGCAAGAGGAGAAAGGAATCCTTCAAATTAAAGGATGTGTGTGTTGGCTTAACCATTTGAGGCAGTGTGTGGTAGACCACAGCTAGTTAGTGGCACTACATTTATGATATAAATTCTAAGGAAAGTTGTATTTCACTGTTTTCTCCCTACAGATCGATCTTGCTTTCACTGAGAACAGGTCTTTGTTTTCAGAAGAAAAGCTTCCCTAACAATAAGTGCACTCCCTACCTTACACTACCCCTTGTCTTTTAAGACAATTACTACTTTCCGCTGATGACAGACTTACACAGCTAGCTAATGCTTTTTGCGATTGGTAAACATGTCCAGCAGTTAGAATATTGACAAAGGATGGATGCACAGTAAGCTCTCGAAACATTCTGCCACCAATTTTTACCTTTAAAATCTTCTTCACCTCAGGCAGTTATACAGGTTTTTTGTTTGCATGTTTACAACTAAAAAAAAAAGTTAACCAAACTCTTACGGATTGATTTAACAAGCGTAAGATATTTTAAAATTAGTAATTCAGTTTTTAGGTATAAAAATGATCTTAAACACAAAGAAGGTGAGACAGAAAGGTCCAAGGATTAGGAAAATTATTCTCTTATTTACAGTATGTCATGTAAAATAAATACACAAATGGAAAGCTGATGCTTTCATATTCTCTACATAATACAGTATCATTTTTTTCATATATGAATGTCTGGTCTAGCAGTTTTCTAAGGAGGTTAGACTACTTGTAAGCCAATTTAGTAAATGTGCTCAGTATAAAAAAAAATAGCAAGGCTACCGGAAATGTTTAAAAGCCAGGGTTAGGGAAGATTATTCTGGACTAATGTTCTTGTTGGTGACCAAAAACAACATGCAGTGGAACGGCATGCACGTTAGAGGGCAAGTTGATTAGTAGGAATCAGACAAGTTTGGGGAAAAAAGAAAAGATTTGTTTAAAATATTATAGGTTAGCTTTCCTTGGTTAGTTATTTCAATCAATATTTGCCTGGCATTCAACTAGTCTCATACCTGCTAGCATAATGTTCAATGCGTGAATGAGTATCATCATGTGAAAGCTGAGGGGACGAGGCAGGCCTATAAGGCAGAAAATGTGATTAGTCACAGATACCATCCATTAATGGAGAAAAAACCCCACCACACAGTTATGTTATACACATGGCCTAGAATGCTTCTATTCTAATTCTATGGATAATGTATACATTTAGCTGCTCCTATATCTTAAATATTATCAAGTATTTTAAAATCCAGGTTTGTGAGATGATTTCTCATACTTCTGCTTTTATTAAAAGCCATGAAGAGAGGCCAAAAGCTTCTCTGGAAAATTCCCATCATAGAAAAGGTTGGGGGAGACAGTTTCTAGGTAGCATTTTGTCCTCCTACTTTTTAATTTCTCATATCCTATAGTTCTGAAATTGTGTTAGCACTATGTGGTTTAAAAATTTAAATAGTTTACACCTGCACCATTTATAGGCTATCTTCTTATTGAATGAAAGCTGTACATTTGCCTAGATACTTACAATTATTTTAGCTTCAAAGAGGCTACTCTAGTACAAGACTTCTTAAGACTCCATGTATCAAGATGTCTTGATCTATGCAATCTTGTAAAGAAGAAATGTATCTTCCAAGTCAGCAGCAAGACTATACTACTAATTTCTAGCACAAAATAGAATGACCCAGGATTATATTGTGAGGTTTTTAAAAAGAATGACTATATTTCATAGAATGTCATGATATCTGAAATATTTCTTAGGGATACTGTGTGCTAAAACACAGGTGAGAAAATAAGAGGAGATCATCAGCAGGAATAGTCTATATGCTTTTTGTATATAAACACCTATCTTTTCTTATCTCCATAGGCTAGAATTCTGGTAGGGTTAACATTTTTTCATCCTTTCATATCTGATCTATTAATTATCCTTGAAGTTTTTATAGCATCTTTTGGATTAACCTTAGGAAAAAAACCATCTGTTCTGAAAACCAGTTTAGGCTTGTACTTTTTGTTTTAATTGGAATAGCACAAAAGGTCTCTTCCATTTCTCTGCTGACACAGAAAGCCCTTAGGTAAAGGCATAAATCCAAAAGTCAACAATAATGTAATTCAGAGAGGACCCTGGTTTAGCCCAATGTCCAAGTAGCACTGAAGGACTTGGTTGAAACACTAAGGAGAATGTGTTTGTTTCTTCTTACATTAAAAAAGAAAAAGATGTAGTTACCAGTAGCTAAGCTTGCATTAGAAAATGTGCCAGAAATTCCTGTTTCTTAATATACTACAGTAAAATAATTACAACACACTACAGCAAATAACTAGGGAACTGGAATTCTTCCCTGAGAGATCAAGGTCTTATTTATGAAACCAATGTCATCTAGGTCAAGTGTAATCATAATCAAATTGAAATGAGTTATAAAGACGTTTAAATTGTCAAGAGGAAACAAAAGGATGACTACTCAATTTAATAAGCAGATCCAAAGATTTCCATGTGAATCTTCACTATAGTTTTGGAGAGTTAATCTGTTAATCTTCTAGAACCCTGGCATAGCCCATTATTAGAAAAATGCTAAGGTTTGTTTTGAAATCTTCACTGCAGATCAAGATAAATTAATACTTGGATTATTTGTATTAAAAGAACTATCTTTTGGAATAGACCAGTCTTTCAATTACATATTTTTCAATAAGCAAAAAGCCTACCATCAGGGAAAATACATTAGTAGTGTTTTCCCTTATAACAGTTGCTACCCTGGAAGTGTATAGAAGAAAGAAAGCCTAAGACCTTGGAGCATAAGTACACCAAGAAAAGAGGCATATAAATCCAAAACACTTTAATACCATTTTATACAGAAAATCTTATACAGAGCTTTAATTCTTAGCCTCCAGGATAATTCCATGTTATTTTTCTTATTAATATCTGTGGCGCCTATCACAGCATGCATAAGCACAAGAACTTATAATAACCAGAAATCTTAAAAAATATACACTAAAAGAGGCACTTATTAAACCAGAAAATGAGCCAAAAGGGAGTACTGGTCAGAGATGAATCATTTAAAAACCAAGAATTAGTAAAAATACAAAGCCACTTAGTCCACAAAGAAAACTAAGTGCAAAGCCTTCTAAAACACTTCCAAAAGAAGGTAATAATACTGCTCCCCCCTTCCCACTTCCTAAATACAAAACCATATACCCAGAAGGATTACTTACTATTAGAGTTAATGACCCACTTGGTCAATTCTAACCCACCCACCACCACCTTATCTTTCATGAAAACTCTATTAAGTAAAAGTTGACATTCATTTAGGTTTCAATGCAGAATCGCTCAAAGAATATTGTTTGACTGGCTCACTTATCGACAAACAATATAAAGGCCTATGGTAGCTTTAGTTTAAAGTAATATGACAAACACAAGCAAATAAGAGTTTAGTCTAAGGAAAACCAAAAAGTCTGTATCTCTGGAAACTTTCAAATTCTGTGATCCATATCAAATGGATTAAATACTGTAATCATCATAGGATTGGTTAACATTAGATAAAATTCTTGCAAAATAAAACACGTTAGGACCTGGCTCTTATGCCTGAATAGGATGGCTTTGTAATATATTTTATATAGTATTTATAATCCTATGAATAAATGCTTTAAATATAATTACTGCTATTAAAGAAAACACAGACTTATACAGAGCTTTAATTCTTAGCCTCCAGGATAATTCCATGTTATTTTTCTTATTAATATCTGCTAGGTTTGTTTTCTTCCTCAAAATTAAAACTTGCCACTATTTCTGAATAATCTAACCAACTCTTCATAAAAAAGACAAATTGGGAGGTGTGTTTTAGTTGTTAGAAAAGATTTTTAAATAAAAGATGTTATTAATTTTAAAGTATTTCAGCGTTTAAGAAAGACAAAATCTTCTACTTAAAATAAGTTACTTTAAACTGATTGTCATAATTTTTTTTTCTCATTAGCTTATGTGTAGCTCCTTTTCGCCTTTCAAGGAACTATTAATTACTCTTTATTATTTTGTGCTACTTTTATCTATGTATTCGTAACAGCTGTTCTTTAGCATATTTGTCATTTGGATTTCTTACTTGGTTAAACTTATTTCAACATAGAGTAAATCCATTCACTTATCACGATCCAATCAAGCTGAAACTGTAGTGTATCAACTCTTTAAAAGTTTCTTATTTTTGAAAGGTTGTAACTTCTATAAAAGACTACCTGGGTTAGAAAAAACAATTTCCAAGAGGCAGAGGACATAACTGAATCTAAATAACTCCCAAAGTTCTTTAAGCACGATGATTAAATAAATCAGAGAATATACTACTTATAGCTACCATATCTCAAAATTAAGGGGCACAATAACGAAGTTTTAAAAAAGAAAGGGAAGCCTTCCACTTCCTTTAGGCCCATAAAGACTGAAAATAAACCTCAATTAATAATTTGCATTTATCACTACAGGGTTTTTATAAAAGGACCTAGTTTAAATTAAATTACACAGTGGAACAATAAAAAAGACTCAATAAAAAGAAATTGAATTCTTACATAAGCTTATCTTCCGAACTGGTCATTTCCCCTTTATACATAATAGAGCCGTCTGATTTTCAATAAATATTTAAATAAAGTATACTTTGAAATACCAAAAGTTTGTTATAACAACCCTACATAATGTAGTTTTAAAACAGGCACTTCGTTTGCTAATATATAAATCACAGGCCCCAAAAAAGAGTTTTCTAACATTATAAACTCTGAGATAAATCATCTGCTGGTATCTAACCTTAGTATTAATACACACCAATAGTAACAACAAAGACTATAATATACTTTCCTCCTAGAGCAAAGGTATAATTATTTATGAGCTGAATATTTAGTTTGGAGAGGAGAGCAAAGTGAGTTTAGTTCAAAATTTGGAAAGCCTTGTATATAATGATTAGTCAAATAGCATGGCATAACCCGATAAACAGTCCGCACACCTCATTAAAATTATTCAGCCAAACTCAACATCATACTTTAAAACGAATTCTGCTGATTTTTAATAGTTCACTTATAACAGACCCTAAAGATTCTAAAAAGCATCGAATCTCAAGAAGTATGGCTAAAGAATGTTATGACGTAATCAGAAGGTTCTTCCTTGCTTTTATATGAAGAAATATATAAACATGTCTCCCAGGAATACAGCTAAAACTCCAGTAACTTCTTTGATTATAATTTGAATTCAAGCCAGGATTTCTGCTGGTTTGAATTTCACCTGGTGGAGGAACCGAAAAACCCACTCTGATTCTCCTGATCTGTGTAGATAGTACTTTCAAAGTCTCATCAAGAAAAGAATAAAACAAACTGAAATGAAGGAAAGGGAATTAATATGTCCATAAAACAAAACAAAACAAACAAACAAACAGAACAAAAGAAAACCAAGCGAGCGAATGTGTTGGTGGTAGCAGCACCCTTCAGCAAAAGTACTCACGCAGAATCTACCGGCCAGAAGTTGATCAGAGTAACGGGACTGCAAAACAAAAAATGAGGTGGTGAAGAGAGACACACGCAAACTCAGCTGCAAAAAAAATTTACTGAAAGGTCAAAATAAATAAAATCCAGCCAATTAAGTATGAACCATGGAAAGCAATAGCCAAACCAAGGTGTAAAGTGAATTAAAAGGAAAACAAACAGTTGTGTGACTGCCATCAGAGTTAAGGCGAAAAAGAGGAGCAGGTTTAAAAGAGGTGAAGACATCCCTTTGATCGTGAGAACCATTACTACTTACTGTGAAGTAGTTTTTTCCTGTGATTATATTTTCTCTTGAGTAGAAACAAGTGACTAGATATGACCACACAATGAGATACAAAAAGACACACATTTACTGATTTGTGAGAGAGGAAAATCAAAATGAAATACTGGAATCCCTCATTTGTAAACAGTCCCATATTTCTTATAAGGCTTGTAAGGTAATTAGTGGCTGTATTGTTTTGTGGTTTTTTTTTTTTTCCCCTGTGAGATAAAGTTTAACTTTTGGAAAAAGAAATTGTCAAGTGAAGTGGGGAAATGGCAACTGGACATCAGCTTAGTTTTCTCTTTTCAGCTAACGTAAATAAAAAGAAAGAAATAGAAGAGACTGTTTGCATTTGGGAGTGAAGGAGGGTGTTCAGCTGAGAGGAGTTCAAATATACATCAAACAAGCGTTTGTTCTGCTTTTGCCACTACTCACGTTTCCATGTTGTCCCCCTCTAAGACAGTCTGCACTGGCAGGTAGCCCATTCGGGGATGCTTCGCAAAATACCTTTTGGTTCGAAATTTGTTTTTTAGTACCTTGGCAAAGTCTCGAACATCTTCTCCTGATGTAGTCTAAAAGGGAGATCATGGTGAGATCAGATTTAGGACAGTATGATTTAAAAACTAATGACCACTCCAGTCTTCTGCCCCATGACACTTGTTTTGTAATTAAGGAGAGTGTTGTGGTCGTGAGCAAAGGCTTTGGAATCAGAGAAATGGGGCTCCGAAACCAGGCCTGGCATGTGCTAACTTGGGTGAGTTATTTACTTCTCAGAGGCTCTGATCATCAGTAAAATGGGAGCAATAACACCTCAACACATTGTTATGATAAATAAATGAAGCATACAAGCTTACTAGGCTACTTAATAAGTGGTAGTTTATAGGTCTTAAGGTCAAACAGGTGATGTTAAATTTTACCACACTTTATGGTATTTTAAAAACTACTTAGTACATAATGATAGCATGCTTCGCCCACTAAATTCTGGTCTATTCACGGCATGGTACATTCTCAATCACTGACCATCTCTATAAGAGGAATAAAGGTGAGAAAGGCAAATATCTGGGAGGATCACTCTGATGATGGAAGAGAGAGATGCTCTAAAGCAGAGTTTCTCATACTTTGATGTGTATGGGAACCAGCTGCAGATCTCGCTAAAATGCGGTTTTTGATTTAGAGCATCAGGAGTTGGGGCCTGCAGTTTTGCATTTCTAATAAAGACCCAGGTAATGCCAACAGACATGTGATTGTTGGTCAACAGACCATATCTTGAATAGCAAGCATGTAAAGTTTAGAAAAGAGGAGAATGTAAGAATTAAAGAAAGAGAGGAGAAACACGAAGGGTGGCTCTACAGTAAACAGGGACAGGTTTATTTTAGAGAAAACAAACCTGAGAGAAGCCTGTCTTTAATTCTTATGGAGATTTGTACTCAGGTCTGTCTGGCCACCAAGTCTACGCCCTTGCCATTGCACCAGTGATTTTTCACAGTTCTATTGGCCACTTAACATTTTCCTAAAACAACGTCTTAGGAGATGGCTTCAACTCTTACTTATAGAACCTTGAGCAAATTATTTAACCTCAGGACCTCAGAGTCCTCATCTGGATAGAGGGGATAAAAATTATAGTACTTATTTTACACAGGGTTGTTTAAAAGGTAAATGCCTACCATTTAGTAAGTGTCAGCATATAAAATGGATTTTGAAAATGTTGTTAGTATGTAGGACAGATAATGAACAAGCAACATTGATTAAAAGTGGTAGGTTATGAATTTGGGGGAACCTAGAACCATACCCCATATTCAACATGCCTCATGGCCGTAAGATCGCCCCATACAGCCTCTAAGGCTGTGCAAAATAAATGTGAAAACATCTTCGATACATTCATGCACACAGAGTGAAAACCCTATTTATTCATCCAACTCATGTTCCATATGTGCCAGGCACTTCCCTAGGCACCAGGGATAGGGTAAATTCTGAAGCCTACAGTTGAGAGCCACTTTAGCTGGGGAACATCTGGGGAAGGGACAAATCACAGCATTACACATGATCTGCAGTACTGTACCAAACTGAAATGTATCCCAGGTGAACTAACTCTCAAGTCAGGCAGGTGTCTAACTTACCGGAGTACAATATTCCACCATGGGATAGTGCATTTTATGGCCTTTTGCAACTCGACCAGAAAAAAAGCAGCTTTGGCAGATGTCATAATTAAAGTGCTTTAGACTCCTGTACCTGATAAAGAGCAAAAACAAACACATATGTATTTCTTTGAATCAAATTCCCAAAGAACACTCTTTAATAAACCTTCTACCACGTTCTAATTTGAGAAACAGAATGCAATGTTCATTAGTCCCACAAGGTAAGTGATTAACTTCCTACCTCCAGATTTCTCCGGTGCCTCTCCTACAGTATCAAAACATTTTGGCAGAAAGATTATCCTATAAACATATGGAAGGAGGGAAGAAAAACTCAGCTCTTATTTAAACTCCACTAGGAATTCTTTGAGATTAAGTAGGAAGGTATTGGCAAATTTCCAGTCTTTTGAAAACCAAATACTCAAATTTAAAAGAACTTCCAGGAGAGACAGACTGATGCCGTGCATGCCCCTTACCCATCATGGGGACAAAAGTTTTCTGAAGCAATTATTTTCAAAAAAATTGTCAAGATAAAGCAATTTCATAAGACAAAAGAAAAAATGTGAACAAGAACTTGCAATTAAAACAAGTCTCACTTTAATAATGTTTTCTAATTGACTGATATGATTCATCTTCAAACAGTTACTCGAATGACCTCTTTTATCTCTATCTCTTCAGAAATCTCTCACCACATTACCTACAAATGACAACCGAAGCCCCAAGAGAAAATGACAATTGGATTAGATGGAAGAATTTATAATTTGTAAATACCAGTTGGTACATTTCCTCCATTATCAGAATGTGATATTCTTTGTTTCATACTCTCTTGCCTTTTGCTTTCTCAGATAAGAACCTTAGCCAATTCACATAAACATATTTCTTATGTCACATATGGGGAAGTGGGAAGGAAAGCTATCTTTTTTAGATCCCAACCATCTTTCAAGAGGGGAAAGGAGGAATGAGAAGTGCTGAGTCCTAAAATAATGTAATTTGCTAAGGGCAAAAGAATTGCAGGCGAAAGTGCTCTTTCAGATCCTCCAAAGCATTACTCTTTAGTTTATAAAAATTTCCCCCGTATACAAAAGCCCACTAGCTAAGGAAGCAGAGAAAAGATAGCTTAGAAATCTAAAGCAGTCACTTGTGGCTTCCCTTCCCCACTCCCCACCCCATGGCATCATTTTTACCTGCCACGAAACCGGGAAGGAAAGAAGGTATCTTGCAAGCACTGCCTACTCACTGTTGTCTATCTAGGCTTCAGAAACCTCTAAAAGTTTTTGTAAAACCTCTTTGTAAACAGCATGACTATGCAAGGATAAACACCAAAAGTTAAAAAGCACTATGAATAAAAAGCATGCAATAGTACAAGGTAGTTATTAGAAAATAAAGTAACAAAACCAGTTCACACATAACTGGAAAAGAGTGTTTACTTAGCTGCTAAGTGGATTCTGCACAGGCATAGACCATATAGCTAGTTTACAACTTTGTGGCTTATTCATCACTATGGAAACCTTCATGTTGATTCACACATTTAAGGACATCACAGTTTCAGAATTAGGATTTAGGATTACTGTTAAGTGAGATTAATTCATTAAAAAAAAATCCGGTCTCCCCAAACAGGTCAACAGGGCTAAAGATTTAGTTAGCCTTGTTTTCCATGATATTTTAAGAATATCAGAATAACCTGCTATGTTTCCTATGTCTTTCACTTATAAATATATAAGGACTGGTTGTTTTTTAGCTGCTTTGTGAATCTTCCATTTACTTGCATACTTTTTATTCCTTTAGAAGTTCATTGGGATAATATACAAAGAATGTAATCAGATTCACAGATAAAGAAGTAAGTTCTCAGATGCTGAAAACAATTCTTGTTACTTAAGGGAGAAAAAAAAAATGGTGCAAAGTGAATGAGAGACTGAGCTACTATTATGGTTCCTCCCAGAATAGAATCATCTCTCAGTTTTATAACTGATGCTTGGGAAGTTTCTATAAACAGAAAAGACCATGAAAAAGGAAAGATGGTAAAAATGTTTTGGTTTCAGGAAGGAGGAGGTACAGTTCATCTGTAATACCTCCGTGAAGACACGCGCTTTGTCCTGCTCAACCAAAAATGTGGTTCTGAAGAGCTGAAGAGTGAAGGTGGAAAGGGACACCAGCCTAATAAGTGAGATCCACCAAAATAACCTAGCCATCAGGAGGGTGACAGGAATGATCGATGTTCCAGTCCAATCACCTTCTCTCCCACTTTGGAGAGGGACGAACTAACAGCAACTGGCACAGGAGATAAAAGATCAAGTCATAAAAAGGTGAAAAATGATGAGAAAAAAATGACTTTTTTTTTTGTTGTTGTTCCTAATACCTGAATCCAATGATTGGACACTCCTTGCAGATGTTACATTTGGCCTGATGCTTGGCAGTTTCTGCAGCAGCCACTCTGTGCAGGACGGGCAGCCACACCATGGACTGGGGTTCCAGTCTCATCCAGTCTAGGAAGAGGGCCGCTTCAATCTCTGGCTTATTATTAGCCTGCAAAGACAGGAGGGAGAGAGAAGGAGGACAAAAGGATGAAAGAAAAGAAGGCAAGATGGCAAAGGAGTTGTATATCAGTTCAATTAATAAGTTAAACAAAAAAGAAAGGAAGAACAATGGTTGCAAAGCTAGGCTGGCTTTTCACAGCTTGTTTCTGCAAATGCTCCCTAATATCCAAAGCGCTACCTACTCCTAAGGCTTTGGTAAACTGCCATTACTCTTTGTGGCTACTAGATGACAACAAAAGAAAATAAAACCAACAAATGAGAAAGGTAAAGCAAACTACACACCTGAGCGAGACTATGTTTAATTCTAATTTTTGAACTGATACATAAAAGTTAGCCAGAAGTGAAATGCAGGAGTTACTGATAAAATTTCAAAGGAGGGGGACAATTGATTTTTTTCTAGATAATCTATTTCTCATAGAATCATAATGAGGGGCTTTAAAATTCATCTGGTTCCCAAGCCTCATCTAATAGACAAACTGATTTTGTAGATCAGAAAAGTCGCTTTTCAAAGGCCATACAATTAGCAGCAGAGTTGATAATAGAATCCAAACCTCCTGGCTTAGTGCTGTTTTCATGATGCCCTGATGATTCTGTCTGCCTATTTCTCTCTCTCTTTCAAAGTCTAAATGTAAGAAATACCATTCATCCCAGAGAGGACAATGATCTCAACAATCTCAAAATACCATCATTTGATTTATATGATACTATATTCATGAATTTTAATTATACCTTATTTTTTCCAACCCTATAGGATTGTTTTAATTTTTTATATTGTTAGATAGATTGACCTATATATTGACTACTTTTTTGCTCTTCATTGCTTTCTTTCATCTCCAATCTTCCATCTGGGATTAGTTCTGCCTGAAATATGTCCCTTAGAATTTCCTTTAGCTGTTGGTGGTGCATTTCTCAAGCTTTGATTGTCTGAAAATACTTTTTTTTTTAAATCCATATTCCTGATAGTTATCTTCATTAAATATATATTTTTTTTGAGAATGAGTCTAGCTCTATTGTCCAGGCTGGAGTGCAGTGGCACGATCTTGACTCACTGCAATCTCTGCCTCCTAGGTTCAAGCGATTCTCATGCCTCAGCCTCCCAAGTAGCTGGGACTATGGGCGCACATCACCACACCCGGCTACTTTTTGTATTTTTAGTAGAGATGGGGTTTCACCATGTTGACCAGGCAGGTCTCGAACTCCTGACTTAAAATGATCTGCCTGCCTTGGCCTCCCAAAGTGCTGGGATAATAGGCATGAGCCACCATGCCTGGCCCAAGTATAAAGTTTTTGATGGAAAGGTTTTTGGGTCTTGTTTTTATTTTGTTTTTGAATACTGAAATATTACCCCACTTTCATGTATCTCTGTTGCTGTTGAGAAGTCAATAGTAAAGATGATTGTTGCTCCTTTAAAGATAATCTATCCTTTTCCTATCTTGTGCTGTGTTTCTAGGATTTGATTTAGACTGCTTAGGATTCACTGGACTCCTTAAACATGTGATTTAGAGTCTAATCAGCTCTGGAATCTTCTCATTCTCTCAACAAATAGTGCCTCTTCTCCATTCCCTCTCTATTCTACTTTCAGAACTCTGTTAGATAAATGTTAGACTTCTTCAATCTATATTTCTCTGAACAGGCCTTCCCTAGTTTCCCCCGTCTGCCCCACATCTTTTTAAAACATCCTTATTTGCTTCATTCTTTCTAATTCCTTCTGCCTTACTGTCTGGGTATCCATTTCTCTTGCCAGTCTGCTGTAAATCCATAAAGGTTTAAATTTTGATTACTGTACTTTTGATATCTAGAAATACTACTTGGTCATTTTTAAGGTAACTTCTCAAGTTTGTGGTTCTCTGCAGATATTTTTCAATGTTGTTTTTTTTCTAACTGTATAAACATAATTTAAAAAAATAATCTAATAATTCTGGAATATGATGTTATTGTAGGTCTGCTTCTACGGTTTGCTGTTTCTTCTGGTTCTCATTCACCTTGATTTCTTTCTTTTTCCACCTTGATTTCTTGTGTGCTAAATGTTTTTTACTACGTACTAAATTGACCTTACAAATATTTTCTAGAGATAAATAAAAGTTTGAGCCTAGAATAAAAGTGCTTTCTCCAGAGATGATTTTCATTTGCTTTTGCCAAGAACCAAGAAGCATTACTTATTCCACAGCCAATTTCAGCTGAATATATGACATGGGGATACTTAGTATCACACAAGTAATGGGTATTTAAGCTGCAAACCCAAGTTGCTTCTCTTGTAATGTGGTTTGCTGATAAAGGACATATCCACATTTCAGATAGAAAGGCAAGAGGGTTTAGACTGACAGGTCATTTGGCTTATAACACCGATCACCTCAACAGTACTCCAGTCATTACCCCTAATTCTAAATTTAGCAACACTATAATAAACTGTTTAACTTTGGATTTCCTAGCTGCAAAATCATATCAGTTCAAACTTCTGATCAAATGCTACTGTTTACCAAAGACCTAGAATCAACCTAAATGCCCACCAGTGGTAGACTGGATAAAGAAAATGTGGTACCTGTACACCCTGGAATACTATGGAGCCAGAAAAAGAATGAGAACATGTTCTTTGCAGGAACATGGATGGCGCTGGAGGCCATTATCCTTAGCAAACTAATGCAGGAACAGAAAACCAAGTATTATATGTTTTCCCTTATAAGTGGGAATTAAATGATGAGAACACATGGGCAGATAGAGGGGAAAAACACACACTGTGGCTTATCAGAGGATGGAGGGTGGGAGGAGGGAGAGCATCAGGAAAATAACTAATGGGTACTTGGCTTGGGTGACAAAATAATCTGTACAACAAACCCCTATGACACAAGTTTACCTCATAAGAAACCTAGACATGTACCCCTGAACTTAAAAGTTAAATTTTAAAAAGTTGTTGCTGAGCACTTTTCTCTGTGTAGAGTTCCATTGCAGAGGTACTTTGTGGGGAAAAGAACGTTTATAAAGAATTATGGAATCTAAAGATGAAAAAGATCATGCAAGTCAATTCATCCTTTTGGCATGGCACCACAGAGCTGTAAGACTTTCAAGTTTCATTTGAGTCCAAACTCAGCATTCATTGAATCCAAACTCTTACCCATGCCAGTGTGTGCTTACAGCCACTACACCACCCATGTGAGGGAGCTAGGAAACATCCTTAGAAGGTGATCTTGAACACCTATGTCCAGATAACCCTGTCAAAAGTGCTTCATCACATTGAGCTGAAATCCATCAGCACAGCATATAGGAGTAGAAGTTCCAGAGTGAAACCACTGGAGTTCAGATCTCAGCTTCACCACTCACTGGCTGTGTGACCTTAGGAAAATAACTTTATCTCTCTGTCTTAATTTGTCTCTGCTACAAAGTGGAAATATTAATAGTGCCTACCTCATAGAGTTATTTTACAATTACGTGAGTCAACAAATGAAAGGCAATTGGAACTGTGTCTGAGACATAGCAAGAATCATGTTTGCTATTGTTATTGTCATTTTTATTATCCATCTGACCAGCAACCCAGAAGTTCTTGTCTTTGAACAGCTCTTTAAATATTTTACCAGAGCTGTCTTGTCTGTCTATGCCTCTTCATTCCTATTCTTTTTATTTCTTCTTCATATGACATGGCTTAGTTTGCCATTGTCATTTAGAAAACTATTCTTCAAATATAATTGCTGAGAATGTACCTCTATTTCTCCGGACAGTGTAACTGGATTACTTTCTTTTGTTCTGTACTGTAGGCTCACATAGGGTTCCTACTCAACTAAAATCTCTGAGTCAGTGTTTCCCTGTATGTCCAGCAGATCAATCGTCCAGCAAAATGCTTCATGAGAAGGTCAAATTAATTAAAGAAATACTGCACATTATATCTGCCTCTTAAAATTCTTAGTACACGTGAACATATTAAAAGCTGAGAAGGTCATCAGTAAAGAAACATGTTAATCAGCTCTGGAATCGTCCCAGATTCTGAGAATGAGAGAGAGAGAGAGAGAGAGAGAGAGAGAGAGAGAGAGAGAGGGAGAGAAAACACGCAAGAAAGAGTGACTGCTGAAGGGGCAATTTAATAACAGTTTTCAATTACGTGAATGGCTCTCGCATAGGGGCCTGTGACCAGCTGTTCAATCTCTCCACTGAGGACAGAACAAGAAGAAACAGACGTAAGCAGCATGAAGAATTTAGGCTGTAGCTCATACGGAAGAATTTCCTGATGCTGAAAGTTGTTAAAGCATTAGTGTGAATTACCAAGGGAGGCTGTAGAATGTTCTACTCTTTCAGAATACTACAGATTCTTCTCTGCTTAAATGTTGAACATTCTGAAATTTCTGTCTAGCCCCTAAGATGCAAGATCCATTATTTTGGCTCTTTTAAAACTGCTCACCTATGCCAACTGACAGCACTGAAGACAAGGTATGGGGATTCACATTCTCACTTTGTTTCAATCTTTCATTTTTATGACAAACTATTCTATATCCTAGTGGTATATTGCCTCTCCTTTTGTCTGGCGATAAAGAAGGAAAGAATTAAAAACCAGGCAAGCTTCTGTAAAGACCTAACAGAACTAGAATTAAACCCAGCTAAAATTACATTTCGATCATTCTAGAAAAAAATATATAGGGATAGACTGGAATAGCAGGAAGTTATTAAGGTCAAAAGATAAGTATGATGGCATTCATTGGACTGAGATAATCTTTGTAAGTACCATTATTTGTTGAGATACATAAAAGTCTCAGATATATTTCCCTCTCAGTATCAAGGGTGACCCTGTCCTCATCCCTAAACACCAGTTTCAAGCCATCCTAGCAAAATCTCTTGGAAAGGTCATTTAGCCCTGGGTTTTGTTTTGTTTGTTGGCTTTGTTTTGTTTTGCTTTTGCTGTTGTTTTGGCAGTAACTGCATTTTCCCCTTCTATGTCATGCACACACAAAAAACAAAGCTATCACAGCTCCTTCCATTGTGACAGTCACAGTTTGGAATTATGTTGGG